TTTTTCTAAATTACTCACCTGTTTTGGTGAGGTCAATCATCCTAACCTTAGCTAAATCCCCGTGTTCTGACCACCTGAAAAACCTACGACCTACTAGTTTGACCTATGTAGTTGACTTAACTCAGAGTCATTGCAAGGTATTGTGTAAATTACATTATTTTTTTATAATAAAGTTTTTTTTGTATTTCCCAATGAATGAAAAACAAAACGATATTGTTGTTGTGTTTTACTGACGTTTCTCTATTTAGTGCTGTTGCTAATAGCTTTATCAAAGTAGTATTATTAAACCAGAATTTACAAAAATCCACCCAACTTATATATAACAACGTAATCATCGTTCCTCAGTGTGGGATCATTTTTCGTTGTTAAATTGGCCAGTTGGTAAAGATAACAAAATCAGGTGTAAATTGTTGGATTTGATAAAACAGCATGTCTTTACATAGTTAAATTGCTCATCCCATTCGTGTTGATTTTGTCACATCATGGGGGAGGAAGGTGTTGTAACTAGGTTAAATTCTGTTTTAGCCCATCATTCCTATTCATTTCAGACAATTTAGATCCCATTTGATATGATGTGCTTGTGATATTAGACGTTTTTTGTGATTTCTGAAGTTTTTCGGGATTATTTCAATATTGTCAACATCAATTTTGTGGCCTGATACTATAGCGTATAGACCTATGACTTTTCTAGTTCAACTGGATTTCTCAGTGGTCGAACAGATGCTCTACGGTGTTCATTTCTTCTGATTCTGATTTCTCGAGATGTTTGTCCAATGTATATCGCATCACATTCCAAGCATTTTATTTTATAGACACAATTAGATAGAGAATCTTTAGGGATTTGGTCTTTTATAATGGGTAAATTTTGTTTTGATAAAGTCTCACAGTGTTATACATATCAATCTTGATATGATTATGAGCAATAAATTGTGCTCGAAACGTCATCAGCAAACATTACTGTATAACACTATGAGACTTTATCAAAACAAAATTTACCCATAATGGAATTACACTCTACCACAATGCACAAGTTTTATTCTTATATCAATTTGGTCTTTTATATGGACAAGGCAAAAACAAAATCGTTTCGTTTTTCATCCACTGGGAAATACCAAAAACATTTATTATAATGAATGTCATATACCTAATGTTAAAAGTGAACTTGGTTTGGACATATACGAATTATATTATTTTGTCTAACTAGGTCAACCTACAGGGTCCTTTAACCTGCCTACAGAGCTTGTCCTGCCCATGTGAGTTTGGGTTTGAATGCCACCCTAATTCCTGCTTTGTTAGGAATTCTACGTAGGGAGGGGCTCAAATATCCTCCCTCCTTATACGGTAAAACTGTAGATGACTTATATTCTCTCTTATTTATGTTATCATTTACTATTTTGATAAATCACACAGTGTTACACAGTAATATTAACTGATGACGTCCACGTTTCGAGCACAAATAATTGCTCATAATCATATCAAGTTACACAACTTTTTCCTTCATTTATATATATGTATGGAACCGAGCAGTAGCTCTAAGTAGCACAAGAAAAGACCTAAATGATGAAATAAAACAGATAGAAGAGGCGTTGGTGTTGAATAGCTATCCCATAAAATTCATTAGGAAGATCAGTAAAGGCCAAAAGCAAAATAAAAATAATTATGAAACTAATAAGGATGACACAAATAAGAGAGAATATAAGGCATCTACAGTTATACCATACAAGGAGGGGACATCTAAGACACCGTCTACGTAGGATTCTTAATAAAGCAGGAATTAGGGTGGCATTCAGCTCCTACAAACTCACTCAGACAGAACAAGCTCTGTAGGCTAAAAGACCCGGTGGACCCAATTAAACAAAATAATATAATTTACAAAATACCTTGCAATGACTGTGAGGTCAAACTAGTAGATCGGGGGTAATCAGATTGTCGGAACATAAGAATTTAGCTAAGGTAAGAATGGTTGACCCCGAGAAGATAAGTAATTTAGAAAAAAGCTCAGCAATTGCACTACATGCAATAACACACAACCACACAATAGGGTGGGAGACGGTTAAGATTCTAAGAAGTAATCTATGTAGGTGGAGAGAGAGATTGTTTACTGAGTCTACACCCAACACATGCAACAGAAATGACTTAATGCAAATACCAGAAATATGGAAGATACTATTACCACCAGTCAAATCAGAAGAGGATAATAAATAATCTCAAAATTCTATTTCAATTCAAGCAAATCACAGCATTCTAACAAATTACTTATTATAACTATAAGAACATTCGTCTGATTTCCCATCTAATTGTATTTGATCAATAACACTCATATTATTATCTCTGAATGTACATTATCTCATATTGATTTTTATTCAAATATCTAGTCAATTCCATACATATATATAAATGAAGGAAAAAGTTCTGTGAGTAACTTGATGTGATTATGAGCAGCAATAATTTGTGCTC